CTTGAGCTAACTCTTGCCCCAAAGTCGCGCATATAATCATAAAAACTTCTTGTGATATTTGACTAATTATATTACCTTTTTTTTTTGACATAATGTATTCCCGCGGAAACTAATTTGCATGGTAATGTGATTGTCGGATTAGTCTAATGGTGAAATTTTCATAATTGTGACCTCATAGTACTTTGAATTCCTCACCTCCAAATTTCAAAATAATATAGGGGTTTCTTTAGTAGAATTGAAAAAATTGAACTATTAGTAGTTCTAACTGTCATATTTTAATTAAAAATTTTTTGTTCTATATACTTTTTTAATTTAATGTGATTTTAACGAGATTTAAAGATCAGAAACAAACCTATTACTAGACCGGCCTACTGATGAAGAAGGTCACAAATTATATATATAATAAGAATACACACATTAATTTAAGTCACGACTATATATATATATATATATAGAGCCACACCAAAATCGTTTAATTCGTTACCGCACATGATATACATATTGCTAGTGGGGTATAGTACTTCTTGCTACATATAAGTCCACTACAATTTTAAAAGAATAAAAACTTTTATTTTACGATCTTTAGGTTGTGTTTGGAATTGATCCCGTGTTTGAAATTTTACTTCTTGCTACATACAAGTCTACTTTTCAACTGTTATATCTGTATTAAAAATGTTCTATTTTGCATACTTTTTCAATTTGATATAATTTTAACGAAATCTAAAGGTCAGAAACATACCATATTATGAAGTAGGTCACAAATTATATATAAAATAAGAATACACACATTAATTTAAGTCACGACTATATATATATATATATATATAGAGCTGCACACCAAAATTGTTTAATTCGTTACATGATATACATATTGCTAGTGGGGTTTAGTACTTCTTGCCACATATAAGTCCACTACAAGATCTTTAATTTTAAAAGAATAAAAACTTTTATTTCACGACTTTTAGGGGTTGTTCTTTTGTCCAAAAAACACAAAAAAAGACAACTCGAGTTCTAACTTTATTTAAGTTTATGTTCTTTTAAGTTTAACTTTATTCAACTTTACTCAACTTTATTCAAATTACAACTTCAACTCAAGTTATAACTCAAATTCAACTCAAAAACTACACTCAAGTAACTCAAATTCAACTCAAGTTATAGATGTACATATGCGAGTATAATGAAATTCTTGCAGTATATGTGAGTCATTGTGAAATCGATTCCACGTTTTCAGAATATCTATGATGAGATTTATGTGTAGAATTCAAATGAAATTAACATCGTTTTCCAATTAAGGATAGTTAAGTTGGTGTTTAGTGGACAAGTTACTTTTAACGTATTAAGTCTTGAATTCAAGTCTCAGGAACTTCCTGGAAAAAAAAAAATCGCTTAATTTATTTGATATATTATTATAACTCCATTATGATTCCTAAATGCATATATGCAATTATGTATTTGTTCAATTATTTGGGGCCGAAATTAGGATACCTGAAGACCTGCCAGGACCAATGATAGAGTGAGCACGTGACAAATTATGTCCATTTTTTGGTGGGTTAATTTCACCAACTATATATTTATAATACGTTGATTATTCTCGGCTGATTAACTATATATCTATAAATATATTGATTCTCTCTGATCTCTCTTGATCACCCGAGAATAATCAACGTTGTTTATACTAACCACTTATCAACCATTAGGAAACAGCTTATAATATTGGTGATGATTAGCACAAATCTTTATTAGTGCGCACAACATAATTAAACAAAGAACTGTTTATTTTGTTATTGACCGGCTGGTTCGCTGGCTGAATCCCAAACCAAAATACGCTGAAATTTTCTCCAGGCTTATTGACCGACATGTGTCCGAGAATCATAACACAGTGCCTATTCTACTTTATTATTAATTTTATTTAATTCTCGCCTTTTGCTTTGCTTTTTGTATATGTTGTTGCATTAATTGGGCACTGCCCAGTACCGCCCAATTTTCTAGCTAGTTACCAATTTATTGCGAAATTTCGGCCCATTTTAACTTGTTGTAAAATAATTTTATTTTTTATATGAAAATTAAAATAAAAACGTTTTTAATTTTAGATAAAAATTATTTTTAAATATATGTTTAGTAGTTTTATTAAGAGATTATTTTTAGTATAAAAAAATCTATTAATATCTCTATCTCTTTCTTTCTGCTCAAGAGAGGAGAAAATTCATTTCTCTCTTATTTTACACTAAACTAAAAAATCATTTTCATTTCCATTTTTTACATTTACTACACCAAACGCCGTTTTAAAAATATTTTCATTTTTTTTTCTTGAAAAACGTAAAAAATAAAAACGGAATCGATTATAAACACGGCATTCTTTTTCTTTCTCTCATTTCCTGGAATTTTCTAATTATGATCTTGGCATTCACAAGTTGGCCATTACTTCTAACTACTTACACGTATGATATAACATCATAAATCCATCCACTATTCAATTACACGTATACTACATTAATTTGGGATAAAATGTGGGATTAAAAGAGTGCAAAACTATTAAAAAAGAGGACTAATTAAGTACGCAACTCTAATACATATATAGAAATCATTTGGCAATTTCATCCGGAGGAAGATATAATGAATGAAGGGCTGGATCGGAACAACATAGAAAATAAAGATATGTGATTCTTAGAAAAATGAAGGGCTCCGGTTTGGATAATCTTTTCTGGACTCGCAATCGGATAAAAGGATCCGACGCTTTTTATTCTTATACTGCTAATCAATCATTGATAGAAATCATTGTCTAAAATTAGTTAAATATTTATTATATCGGTCAATAACTATTTTCTTAATTCAACAAAACTTAGAGATATTTATTAAAACCTACCATAAAAAGTGTCATTTTTTCTCATATTGCATTCATGTGCATGTAAAAGCTCTGTACCATTAAACACATATATTTATAATACTCTTGTAGCTAGAAAATAGTATAAATTAGCTGGCACCTTTGTTAATATTAATTACGATTACTAACATAGAATCATAGGTATATGATAGCGTTTCGCGGTGGATGATGATTTTAGATGGATTATTACTTCATCATTAAGTAACTAGAAAGAATTATAGCAAATACATGAATACACCATGATCGGAATATATTTGTTTTTATTTTATTTTTATTATTATTATGTTTTTACTATATACTTCACTGTTGTCATGCTTTGATCATTGATCTAGAACATTGAGGGAAGACCTATGTGTACGAAAGCTGGACTCCACTGGAAGGTGAAAATAATTAATAACAGGAGTTGCTGAAGTGGGAGTAGTTTGTGTTCCAATGTCAGACACTAGCTAGCCAGGAATACAAATTAGCCATATTATATATAAGCCGCGTTGTAATTTTATTTTATTTTATTTTTAAGCCGCTAAATTTTCTACGTAGAAATAGACAAGAACAGGAAAAAGAGAAATCTATATAAGATATTACCACAGAAACTACAATCTTAGTTAAGGCCCGTTTAGTTCGCTGATTTGAGTTTTTAATTTGAGTTGAGATGTGATTTTATGTGAGAGTTTTTCACTGTAGCAAAAAAGTTAGATGTGACTGTTTCTGAGAGCTTTTTACTATAACAAAATTCGAATTCTAAACTCAAATCGGTGAAATAAACGAGATCATATATGCATTCATCTTACTGTGTCTCTATCTTCTGATAGACTTATCTCTATCCGCATCAAATTAACCCTTATCAATCTCATAATGACTCTCATATGAATATATATATATATATATACACACACGTGTGAATACATACAATATATTATATATATATACATATATATAAACTGGAAAATATCCTATAGGGCTTTGCAGTGGTCCATATATAGATATATGTATATATATATATATATATATAATTTTGGTCCCTTAAATCCATTGTGTTCCAAAAAGAGTAAGTTGCTTATAATGAAAAATGAAGGAATAGGGGGACCCGTACGGAATAATTTTTGAGTTTCCAGGCGTACAATTTAAGAGTGTGCCACTCAGACCAAACCAAAGTTTCATAACCAAACCAATCTTACTTTTTTAATTTCTGGCACTACATTGGTCACATGGTCATCCACATGGCTAATTCGCTATATTTCCACATCTTATTCGTCTGCTTATGTGGACAACCCCAGCTAATAAAAAGCATCCACTAATTTGATTTGTTTTCTATTATCAATATTCCACAGCATTAATTTAATTTCTTTCATTTAGACAATGACACGTGGGTACTTTAGCAAATTACTTAAAAATGACCTTTATAATAATCTGATCCAACTAGCTAGTTCTCTCTTGCTACGCCAAATTAAAGGAATTCTCAAGAAGATATATACAATCACCTACTCCACCATATAGTATATTATGCCCTCGTTCGTTTCGCTGATTTGAGTTTAAAATTCGAATTGAGATGTGGTTGTATGTGAAAGTTTTTTACTGTAGTAAAAAAATTAGATGTAATTATTTGTGAGAACTTTTTACTGTAGTAAAATTTGAATTCTAAACTCGAATCAGCGAAACGAATGAGGCCTATATATACTCTCTGCTTGACTTAAAATAATGTTTTCCTTTGCTAGATTATGTGCAACCCGACAAATATTATTTGGGCTTTTGATTAGGAGGAGGCAAGGAATTTAGCCAATATCTCTGGCTTAATTTGAGTTTTATAACATTTTCATTAATATATTTTCCTTGTCCGCTAATTATATTGTTGACCTCCCAAGACACAATTAGCTGGACTTTTCTTGACTCGGACGTCATTTTTTGTTTTTTTATCTGCTTAGTTAGTGCTTCCCGCCAATTAAAACTCTCTCTTTTTAACAAAAAATATGGACCAGTAAAATTGGTTGCCATTGTTGAGTACCCTCTAGCTTTTCCATGGCTATATATAGAGGAAACACGATCAATGGAGGCCAACCAAAGTACTAACTTGAGCTGCTAATTGATTATGACAGCCATGGGTACACTTCAAAAAATTTTATGCATGGCTCTTCTTGCATGGAGTGTTGTTTGTGCTTTGAGTGAGGAAGTAGATGAAAGCAGCTATGGAAGTCCAAAAAGATGGGCGTTTGATAATGACTATGACGATGACTATTGTTCGTATAGAAGTTGGCGGAGTTGTGGGAGTTTCTTCGGCAGAAGAGGTCAGGGAATGAGTCGAGCTAAAGGGTATGGGCCAGCAGGTGGAGGCAGCGGCGGTGGAGGTGGCAGTGGTGGTGGTGGGGGCAGTGCGGGTGGTGGGTCGGGGCATGGCGAAGGCTATGGAGCTGGAGGTGGAACGGGAAGTGGTGGTGGTGGTGGTGGCGGTGGAGGCGGCGGAGAAGGCGGAGGAAGTGTTGGTGCTGGTGAGGGGTCCGGTCATGGGAGCGGGTTCGGAGCCGGTGCTGGCGCTGGTGTTGGTGTTGGGAGTGGTGGTGGCGGCGGTGGAGGAGAGGGTCGAGGTGGTGGTGGCAGTGTTGGTGGTTCAGGTGAAGGGTCCGGTCACGGCAGTGGTTTTGGTGCAGGAGATGGTGGTGAAGGAGGTATGGGTGGCGGTGGTGGTGGAGAAGGTGGGGGTGAGGATTCAAATGGAGGTTCTGGTCATGGTAGTGGTTTTGGTGCTGGCGGTGGTGTAGGTGGCAGCACAGGCGGAGGAGGTGGAGGTGGCGGCGGTGGAGAAGGAGGTGGTTCAAATGGAGGGCGTGGTCATGGTAGTGGTTTTGGTGCTGGTGCTGGTGGTGATACAAGCATTGGTGCTGGAGGAGGAGGAGGTGGTGGTGGAGGCGGCGGCGACAGTTCTAGTGGAGGTTTTGGTCATGGTAGTGGGTTTGGAGCTGGTTTCGGTTTCGGAGTAGGAGGTGGTGGTGGTGGTGGCGGCGGAGGTGGAGGTGGCGGTGGCGGTGGCAATGGTGGAGGAGGAAGTGGTAGGGGAGAAGGTGAAGGATATGGTCATGGTGAGGGTGGTGGGGGTGGTTTTGGAATGGGAGGCGGTGATAGCGGCGGGAAAGGGGAGGGAGTGGGACGTGGTGGCGGCAAAGGTTATAGTGGTGGAAGTACTGGGATGGGCATGGGATTTGGAATGGGCTTTGGAATTGGTTTTGGAAGGGGAAGTGGTGTTGGAGCTGTTACTACTGGTGACCACCCTTAGGCCTTACCCACGTTCGTTTTTTATAGATGATTTTCTAAACATGATTCTCTCATTGGCCTGTGCTGTTATGTGTAGTTGTGGCAATGGAGAGCTAGGAAACTGATATTCCCGCATGATATAAGCACGTAAGATCATTTGTTTGTTTCAGAATAATCTCTTTGTTGGACAAACCTAAATGGCTAAATTTATTCATGTTATGTTTGCATTTATTCTCGTCAATTGTGTTTATCCTTAACTTCCTACAATACCATATAGTCACCGCTCACCAACCCAGGCCTAATATGCTTTTTCTTATTATCTGATACGTAGAATTATCAGTTATGAAAATGATGGAAATGACGAAGAAATATTCAATTACTAATTATTCACTAAAATAATAATAACAATAATTGCAATAGTTATAAAACTAATTAAAATAAGAGAGGATGAACACGACTGAAATTAAAAAAGAAAAAGTGTACACGAGTAGGTCTTGTTAATTTAATATATACATGTACACGATTGTAGTTAGGGGTGTAAATTGGCCGGATAGGGTAGGGTTGAGTCGAAAAATTGAGCCTATCCGATCAGTGTGGGTTGAGAAAATTTTAGGCCGCGACACTCTCTTAAGTCTACAAACCCGCAACCTTTCGGGTGACCTCGGGTAAGGTCGGGTTACTCGGGTTGAAGTGTTGGATATTGTTTTACCTACTTTAAACATGTTCGGCCGGGTAGGGTTACCTTGGGTTCATGTAACCCCACCCCGCGCCCTTACCCGCGCAGTGCGGGTTAAGCATAATTAAAACCGAAAATTAAATAAAAAATTAGAAACTCATAATTTTTGAGTATGATCGGCTCGGCTCGGTCGGGTTCATCGGGTTTGAGGTGATTTTTTACGGCCCTAATTGTAGTTAGTGATCATGTGAAATAACATGTGTAAACAATCAACAAACTTATACCACAGAAGATAGGGGATTCTCAATCCTTCTTTCTTATTAATGAAAATTGTGATTTTTCTCATTGGTCATCGAGGAAAAAAGTACTTTCATGTGACAGAAAAAAAAAATAATTTAATTGTCAACACAGATGTAATAAAACACGTTAAAAAAATATTGGGCATGAAAATAATACTTTTCATGTGCTACACTACAATATCAAAACAAAAGGGCATATGTGTAATTGCATATCATTACCCACTTGCATGTTAAAGCCTAAAGGAAACTAACGCAGCTTCATAACCACTAACAATATCCACATTCTAAACAAACAACCTTATAATTTTATTTAAATTCATCATCAAAACGCACATGCATGATTCATTCATAGAATATTGGGTTTTTCTTTTTTTTTTTTTTAAGAAGAGTTTTGAGAAGGTAATTAAAAAATATTTGAAAATAAATATTACATACTATTTCCCGAGCCTTGAACTAAGAACTCGATATATTGAAAACCATTCACACATCCACTAAACACTAATTAAGTTAGCCTTAAACGACTAATAAAAATTAACCACTAAATTTCATAGTTGTTGACTAAATAATTAATAAATTTATATTTGATAAGCAAATGAACTGATAAATGATGAGTCAAATCTGGTTACTGTTTTATCACAAATTATAAGTAGGAATTTTATTAAAAAAAAATTGATATAGATAATTACTTTAAGCAGATGATCTTAGTTTTACAAAATTAAGAAAATCGTATTTTCGAAAAAAAAATTTCCTTAATTTAACTGATTTTTGATAACTTGTTGACTCATTTTAATTTATCATTGATTCATTAATTATTAGTTTATCAACGTATCTCTAATCTAATTTATCAATTTTCATTCACATAAATTATTGATTCTTAATTTTTTAGCATTTATTTTTAATTAATATCCTTTTAATCAGTATAATTCTTTAATTAAAGAGTGTTAATAAAAATCTGGACCCATGTATGTCTCCTTTTCTCTTACTAAAAAATATTTCTCGTTTGAATAGTGTCCGTGTGGCGCTTGAGGCCATAAATGCAGTACCGGGCTTAAGATTTAGTTTAGTAGTTGTAGCCCAATACCGGCCCATCATCGCTTCCACAAACAAACCAATACCATCGTAATTACCCGCCCTAGCGTCTCCCTCCGTTCGCCGTTTTCTCCTCTCTTTCCTCTATCAGTAGCACCAGGCCTCGCAAGAATCCACAGAGCAATCTCCAAAACCCTAGAAAAATGGCGGACGTAGTGCAGTACCGCCTCGAGCGCATGGTCAACGAGCTCGACGACCTCGAGCGTCGCGGTCTCTTCTCCCGCCGCGAGATCGCCGAGATAGTGAAGCAGCGGCGGAAGTTCGAGTACAGGCTCAAGCGGCCGAGTCCGCTCAAGCAGGATTACCTAGCCTACATCGACTACGAGACTCAGCTCGACTCGCTCCGCCGACTCAGGAAGAAGTCGGTAGCGCGCGAGCTCAAGAAGCAGGGTGTTGACGACAAGAACAAGACTAAGAGGAAGAAGTCGGTTTCGGACTACGCCGGCCTGGTGAGGATTGTTGAGATTTACAGGCTCGCGGTTATGCGGTACAAGGGCGACATTGATCTCTGGTTTCGGTACCTTGAGTTTTGTAAGCAACGAAGGAATGGCAGGATGAAGAAGGTAAATTTTCCTTTTTGTGTTGATCATTTTTTTTTCCTGCAAAATGAAAGAATACAGGGAATATTCTGGTTTTGATTGATTTCCCTTGAGCGAAATGCTCACTTCTAGTGAAAGCGCATTTAATTTGGCCGAATAGAGCTTGATTTGGTGTTTTTTCAGTTTCTTATTGCCGAAATTTTGACAAAGATAACTGTTTTAGATGAAGAGTCTTCTTCGATTTTGTTTGTTTGCCGAGAAAAGGGAGGAAAGATAGGAAAAAGTTCAAAAATGTAGAAGTTTGACAGTTTTCTTTTAATCCTACGTTTCTTTCCCTGCCTCTATAAAACCTTAAAAATAGCCAGAATGTTTATGCAGTAATTAGCAAAGCTTAAGAATTTCAAGCTCCTTTTGGTTTGTGAAAAAAGAATGAGAAATACGTCTAAAATGAATTATATACACTATGTTTGTGAGGTTTACTTTTCTAATCATTGGGACTTTAGGGATTTATTTATTCTAATCATATCGGGAGACCACAACAATCAGCCAAAAAATTGTTATATTAGGTGAAATGTATCTTGGTCGTACGTTTTCTTAGGTTTTAAGTAATATACTGATCAACAAAACTGAAAGGTTTCAAGGTCCTTTCGGTTTGAAAAAAGAAAGATGAGAGAATAAGACGGAGAATATCTCTTATCCACTAGGTTTGTCCGAATTACTTTTTCAAATTAGCGTGACTATAGTTTTTTTTTTTTTACTTTTTTTTCTATTTAATTTTGCAGGTCCTGGCTCAGGCTATAAGGTTTCATCCAAAAGTCCCAGGGCTTTGGATATATGCAGCTGCTTGGGAATTTGATCATAACTTAAATGTTGCCGCTGCTCGTGCTCTAATGCAGAGTGGGTTGAGAGTTTGTCCCACTTCAGAAGACCTCTGGATAGAGTATCTCCGCATGGAACTCACTTACCTTAATAAATTGAAGGCCCGAAAGGTTGCTCTTGGAGAGGATGAGGGGACTCTGATCCGTGATCAAAAAGTTACCGAGGAGAAACAGTGGAGAGAAGAAAATGAAGATTTATTTATGTCCCTTAATGACCAAAAAGAAAATAAAGAACCAAATCCGGAAAGCAAGGAGACAACGGAGAAAGTAGACTTGTTTCGAGAGCAAGGATTCAATATTTTGAGAACCATATATGCTGGAGCAATTGAAGCTCTTCCTTCTAGTCTTGATCTAAGAAGGAGAATTTTTGAGATATTGGAGGCAGTAGACTTGGCTCATTCAGAAGAAATGCGAGAACAAATACTAAGCGAGATGAAGAGAGATTTTTCAACTGAACCGGAGTATTGGGATTGGCTTGCTAGACTTGAATTTGATCCTGAAAGCGCAGAGGAAATGAGTGAAGAACTCGTGCTTTCTCGGACACAAAAAGCTGTTCAGGTACAAATCTACATGAACTTTTTTTTTTTTTAAAAAAAAAATTTAATTCATAGAATTCTTCTCATAGGGTTCAGTATCAGTTGTTCTGCATTGTTTGGCAACCATCTGAGTGAGATCTTTTACTTTCTGTATATCGGTATATGAAACTGAAGTAGACTCGTGTGGATCACCTTAATCTGTAATCCTCTTGTGAATAATCCTGGATTTTGTTATGAGTAGGTATTTGAGGAGGCTCTTAAAGTTGTTCCTTCAGTCAGAGTGGTGAATTTCTACACAAAGTTTTTGATGGGTGTTATTGTTTCCAGTAAAGGAGAAAAAGAAATTTCGGGGCTATCTGGTCCATTTACAACTTTTATACCAAATCTTTTTGAAGTGTTTGAGAAGGCTGAAACAATGGGGTGTATAACGGAGGATCTTGCGTGCCAGCATATTTCATTTTATTTGCAACTGGGAAGACTTGATGAAGCGAGGAAACTGGCAGAAAAGCTTTGCCATGAGATTTTTTCGTATTCAATTAGATTATGGCTATTAAAGGCCTCGCTAGAAATTAGACAAATTACAAGGGGTTCTGTGTCTCCATCTAAAGCTGACCTGCAATCCATCTATGGACTCATAAAGGATGTTTTGACAAAAGCCCACGTCTCAAAAGCTGAGAGCTTGTGGCTCATGGTACTCACCTATACTTTCTCCCATTGTTTATTGACTTTTGTCTACTTATTTTGGTTGCGATCCAACCTTTTTTTTGGTGATTACTTATATATTCCTCAGTGACATGCTATATACCTGATGGTAGATAAAGTACTAAACATTGCACTTTGTCCTTCAAAGATGCCAGAAACGTTGCATAGCCTCTTAACAGTCTTGCTGACATGTTTTTGGCTGGTTATGTGCTTAATTACTTAAGGTTTCACTGACGGGCATGTTCTTTACCCTACAGAATCTGGGATATATAAAACATAACTTCTTATGCCATTTTTCCTTCCAAGTCTTGAGAACCATTAAAATGACTGAAGATTTAAATATCTGAAACTTCTTTTTGCAGGCATTCAAATTGTTTTCTAATCAGAAGGAATATTTTGACAAGCTGGTTGAGATTGCTATTGTATCATTAGCTAAAGATGGAGGCAGTGACGATGGGTTCTCCCTCTCTGCTGCTATCGTGAATTTTGTCTTCCAAGAAGATGGAATTCGAAAGGCAAGAGACATGTATAAGCGGTATGTCATTAAATCCAAACTAGTTATAATTTATTCTTTGTTCTGGGTGAAGAATTGTTCGTCTTCATTAGCACTTTGCATTTGAAACATGTATGGCTCCATAATCCAAAAGCAATATGTAGAAAGGTTTTGCGCCTAGTTTCTGCTCTTGCTCTGGGTGAAATTTCTAAGATTTTATCTTGCTTTTGTTGCAGATTTCTTGCTTTACCACGTCCAGGGCTTGCCATATACAGAAATTGCATCGAGTTGGAAACAAACCTAGCATCAGTTGGTGGTAAAGATGGGCTCGCAAATGCGCGGAAGTTGTACGAATCGGCCCTTACAACTTACAGCCAAAATGTGAGCTTATGGCAAAATTACTATGGACTGGAGACAAAGGTGAGGTTTAGGTTTCCTACGCTTCAAACACATTAGGTTGGCAATGCCATTTGATATAATCTGGAATGTGGTTTATAATTAGGAGGCTCTACTGGTTTGACATAAGTGCCTTTAATAATCTACAATGTTGGCATGCTGCTATTTCATTCTCCATAAAGAAGAGACGAAAGTTTATTTCGTTATCTGTAAGCAGTAAACATCAGTTTTGACTCCTTTTAATAAGGCCAATCTAAACGACCCTTTTGTAATTTGACCTTAAATTCCAATCAACGCTTAGAATATTTATGTCCACTGACAAGGATTTTGTATCATTTTGCAGATGGGAACATCCGAAACAGCTAGCGCTGTCTATTGGCGTGCTAGAAAGATTTTGAAGGACGCTGCTGCTCTCATCACTCCTGATATGTGAAAACTGAAATTTCGTTGTACATTCAATCCAATTTTGACCTTTTAAATATTTATTGTTATTACTGTAGTTGGACAGTAAAAAGAAGAGAGGTGTAACAGCACTTGTATCGCTAATGATATAAACATTTTTCTGCCCTTTTACTAGTGAGATTTATAAATAGCCAATAACTTTAAATCATATGGATAACTGCTACGTTACATGGCTTATTTGGTCTTCACATGAAAATTCTCAAATGTGGAAGCACATCCCCTGCTGTTTTTTTTCCCCCTTTTTTTTTTTTTTTTTTTTTTTTTTTTTTTTTTCCTTCAGCCTTAAGATGGAGAAGATTGAGCTGCACTTGGAAAAGTGTGAAAGTGCTATACTCTTGGCCACTGTGGACTCACTACCTGCACGTGCAAACAATTCATCAAGTAGATAGTCAATACAACCTAAACTTACCATGATCAGGATATCTGGATAAGGAAATGAGAATATATATAACTGTAGCTAATTCCTTTTTGGCGCCTATTAGTATATTAGCCTCTTGGAGAATCAACAAACCTCAAGCGTGCTAAACACTAATTGCATTCGACTAGCAACAACTGATGGCTCCTCAGCTCGTCCCACTACTGCCATTTGCTCTAGTTGAAGAGTCTTCACAGGAAGCCTGCAGGCCAAAACATCGAAAAACAAATATTTATTAGAGCCTCAGCCTCAAACGCACGAACAGAAAAAAGTTTTAAGAATAATTATTAGCCTTGATAGAAGATGACACTTCTTTCAAAATATATTCAAAGTTCGAGTGAGGAAAAACAAGTAGGAAGTTGTTAGGTTTTTCCTAAAATGATAGAATCAAGTTAATTGCTTCAGATATTTGGAGAAGCCAAAATCACTAGATAAAACTGCAGCTGGTGCTCAAAGAAAGAAATGGAATGTGCTAGAAAGCACCCTTACCATGCCATTCCTCGCACGTAATATGCATTTGCAATGAGAGCACAAAAGCCCTTCCACTGAAGCCTTACTTCATCCGACACTGGCGGAGTTGACGACCACCTAACTACAGTCGGTTGCGGGGTACACAATATGGTGATGAATATGATGCTCAACCACAAAATGCACTCATCAACCTGCAACATGAGAAAGAATGTAAGAAAGCAAGCAAGAAAGAAAGGGATTTCACTTATTTAGCCCTTCCGCAAATTTCACATGTACACCCTGCTTATCACATCTGCATTCTAGAATAAGACTACGCAGCGAAATTTCAAGCGCTAACAAAGATGGAACCTGTTGCTCCAAATGAAGTTGGCTACAAAAGTCACATTCCCAATCCTAAGAAAAAGGCTTTTCTTCATAAGCCGATTAAAAGATCAGCCCTTCACACACATGTTTAGTTTTCACATTGGGAAATTTTGTAGATGAATAAAATGGTATGTTTCTAATGGATTAACTTAAGAAAGGATCGCCTCACCTCCTCTGATGAAATCTTGGACTTCAAACTCGTGTTTCCGCCATAACTTTGCATTGCCTCAATTTCAACGCCGGATTCTTTCATATCAGCGAGTTCTTTCCTTAAGCTTTCATCAGTGCAGCCTAGTGCATAAGCATTCACCCCAGCACTAATAAACTCCTGATTAACCAAAAAGGTTATTCGAGAAAAGATAATTGAGCAAACCTAACAGAACAACCGATCAAGCAAACGACTGAATATACTTTTAGGTTGTCACCTCCTCCACGGTCAACCACATTCCTGTACCGTCTCAACAAACTGATTGCTATGTTGCGTGATGAACGATACTCCTCATCGGATGGAACTGAATCATCCAACCGGCACTGCAAGAGTCAAAGTGGAAGATCACTATCAAGAACTTGAACAAAACCACACAATAATCTGCTAAAATTGGCCCAAAACTTGCAACATACTCACCCGCCATTTCTTTGAAGCCACGAGGTGAGAAAAATGATGGGTGTTCAGATGATTACACCCTTTCCAAGAAAATAAGGAACAATGAAGTGTACAATTACAAGGAGTACTATATAGCTTGGGTGTTAATGAAACATAACTCAAGGAATTTACATGGGTACTCTTAGAGGGAAATGCCTCATGTAGTGTATTAGAATCTGGGTATGTCAAACACTTTGTATTGGCCACCGGTGCACAAACCATCAACATGTTTAGACCATGATAAAGATTACCTTCAAATAATCCAATATCAATTCCAAAAATTAGATACTGAACAATCTAATAAACAAGGATATATATACTAAATTAACCATAAAAAAAAAATCAGCTTAGTTACATCTCTTCCTACGTTTTCTAAGCAACTAATCCAATATCAATGCAAAAACTCAAATTATGTTACATACATGATACATAGTAATCCAAAAAAAAAAAAATCAGATTAATTACATCTTTATTTACTTCTTTTCTTGTGTTGTCTAAGGCTCTCTAAGCTTCTAGACAGTATGAAAGTAAAGTAGTCCATCAAGCAATGGTCAAGTTCGTCCTAATTTCAAGTTCAATGAAATTGATCAAGCATGAACAGAAATAATCGAAAACCCTTTGTTCCGTTAAAATAATTTCTTAATCAAACCAAAAAAGATGCTCAATTTCATAGCTATCCAAGCAGATAATCACTAGCCCACAAATGGGTGAGCTTTGGAAACAACTATTTCCGGTAAACTTTAGACAAGTTGAAATATTTTGATGATCACAGATCAAATAAAAACAGCAACAAGAAAACTCAAACAACAGAGAGAAATTCAACAAGAATCAACCTTGTCACGATTGAGATAACCTCATCTGCAAATTTAAAAATAAATAAATATATAAGGACTGCAAATAAAAGCTTACGACTTTTTGTGTCTGAAAGAGAATATCAAATAACACAAAGAGCTTCAATATTCTACAATATAGCAAGGGATTTTTATGAAGTTAGAAAATATGGAGGGTCTCACTGAAAGCCACCAATTTTATGTATGGCTCCTGAGATTCGCCTTCAGAAGATTCATATTATTTCTAAAAAAAAAAATATTGAAAAGAAAATATTTATGGCTGTTATGAGAATCCACAAAAGTGGGGGACTTCCCAGTTTGGCATTTGCAAGGCAACCTTGATAACGACGTCGCTTCCTTCTCATGATTTCCTTGCTGACGAGTTTTTATTTCGACACTGGCCTTTTTTTTTTCCTTTGGTTCTTCGAGTGTTATATTTTTTTCTTACAAATTGACCCTTGACATATTGAAGGACCTTTATTACACAATATGCACATTTTGGCACAATATCATCCAACTTTCTATGCTCGTAAAACTCTCAAAAAGTTCGTTACCACATTGAAACCATTTAGTGGATATATTAGTATGATTCATAACCATCCAAGTAAAAAAGTTGTCCATAACTTTTTGCTTCAAAAAAGTTGCCCATATTGCAAAGTTTTCCTTAGGTACATCTCAAATGCAGATTCTTTTATGCTACTAGGAAGAATATTTCCTTGTAACGTGTTAGGAGATACGATAATTTATGAAATTTTATGTTAAAATTTATAAATTTAAACGATAAAATTATAAACTCAGAACGATAATTTTGTGAAATTTAAATTCTATGATAATTTACGTTAGAACTTACAAACTCGAACTATTCATCATAAAATTTAAAATTTCACAAATTATCGTTCTCAATTTATAACTTTATCGTTTGAATTTACAAATTCTCACGTAAAATTTCACAAATTACCGATACGGTATTAGGAAAAAGTGCTCGGACAACATAAACTAAATGAAATCAACATGATTATTTATAGCATAACTTATTAAGAAGTGGAATATACCGTTCCTATTATAAAAAAAATACAAAAAAAATATCACAGTACTAGAAAAAGCATCTCAGAATGTCTAGTTCCGAAGTACCAAAACTTCTTATATTGCATAAGATAAAACAAAGTGCCAAGCTCTTACTTCAACCAAAAAAACAGAAGTAGCAAGCTCTTACATAGGACATAAAACACCTACCAAAAGCCAAAACAAACCATTCTTTCTAATTCTACCCTTTACAGAGAGACGTCTCAACAAATTAGGCGGTACGTCACTCTGATCACCTGACTGATGCTCCACCGAATTAACGTGGACCCCACTTCTGACTTTGAGGCCCAAAAATCATGATTCAGAAATTTTCAGCCGTTGGATTGGACAAGTACACATGGGAAGAAGGTGTATCTGAGAAACACCTGAACAGGAGAGAGAGAAAGAGGATAGATTGGGGCACTTGTCCGGTAGTGCCACCACCACTCACTTACGATGGGCTTTCCGTTGGGAAGAGGAACCCTCGTCCACCCACTACACCCACACACCAACCCCATCTCTCTCTCTTGTTTTTTTTTTTTCTTTTTTTTTGGGTTTAAAAATATTTTTTTTATTTTTTTTATGCCCACAATTACAATAAATATTCGGATACATTATCTCTCTCTTCTCTCTGCCTTTGCAAACATAGAAATTTGTAAATTGCAATGCAACAACAGTCACACACATATAAAAGGCCAATCTCTTTTTTAATCTTTGTCTGCTGCGAGAGATGCTCATTTGGGCTCTCAGATTTCCCTTCTTCTGAATAACGCAACCCATTGAGCTCGGTAAGCGTTTTCTGTCTCTCTTTTTCTCTAAAGCAATTGGCTTGTTTATCATCTTTTCTCCAATGTCATGTCCTGTATTTTGTCACGCGAAAAAGGAGTAGAATTTGGAGATCTGGATGATTCGTTTTTGGAAAACATGACTGGGATCTGGATAGCTTATTGATTTATATAATATCCAATTCTTTTTCAGCGCTTTCTTCTTCTTTATGGAATATAAATCATACGTATATATGAAGTTTGATTAAATATTGGATTTTACAGTGCCAAAGTTTGGGTCTTTTTTTTTATTTTTTATTTATTTATTTATTTTTTATAGTTTGTGAAGTGGGCTACTGCCTGTTAATGGTGTTTGATTGAAATTTGTAATATATTCTTGAACTCTGTGAGATGAAACTGTTTGAGAAGAGCAAATGAGCCTTTTAATGGCTGGTTTGTTGAGTGTGCAATGACAAAATGCAACGGCACCGAGCAGTCTGTATGGATTCTTAATTTTCCATTTTGTGTAGGAATACCCTTTTGAACAAAATTTGCTTACATTCCTTTGTGGCTCATTGCTCTGTACATTTTCTGGGGAAATGTTACAATTATGATTCTTTTCTACCAATCTAGCGTGTTATTTCGAGTGCTATTGGGAAATCAATATTCAATCTTTCTTGTGTTTGCGTTAAGTTGTGGTTGTAATACACTGAAATGGATTTGCCATTTGTATCTAAAGGCTTGTCTGATTTTGTTGATCAGGTATTTTCTGCCCAGAAAATGAGGGGGAGTTTATGGCAACTCGGGCAATCAATCACGCGCCGTCTTGCGCAGGCTGACAAGAAGGCTGTTGCTCGTAGATATATTGCATCTGAAGCTGAGCTGAAAAAGACAGTTCTTTATGACTTCCATGTCGCGAATGGCGGGAAGATGGTGCCGTTTGCTGGGTGGAGCATGCCTATTCAGTACAAGGATTCAATCATGGACTCCACCGTTAACTGTAGAGAGAATGGTAGTCTGTTTGATGTGTCCCACATGTGTGGACTGAGCCTCAAGGGAAAAGACAGTGTTCCTTTCCTTGAAAAGCTTGTTATTGCTGATGTCGCTGGGCTTGCCAATGGAACCGGGACCCTAACTGTTTTCACAAATGAGAAGGGTGGGGCAATTGATGACTCGGTCATCACCAAGGTTAAGGATGACCATATATACCTGGTGGTGAATGCTGGATGTAGGGATAAGGATTTGGCTCACATTGAGGAGCACATGAAGGCATTCAAAGCTAAAGGTGGGGATGTCTCATGGCACATCCATGATGAGAGATCTCTTCTAGCTCTTCAGGTTTATCCCTTGATTTCATCTTATTTTGTCCAACTATAGTCAATAGTCAATTTTTATTTTTGCTGTATTCTCGTCTAATAAACCTATACTGGTAAAATTTTGAGGATATTTAATCACCTGTTGGCTACAGTTTGTACTTCAGATGGTACGTGGTAAGTGTTATCAAAGTGTTGAACACAGCTAGTCTGGATTAGAACTCAATCTTCTTTGGAACAATGCATCGCTTTTGTGTGACTCTTTACCTTAACCTTCTATTTTCCTCTTTACTTTTTGTGTGTGTACATTTGCTTATGTTTTAATTTCAACAGGTCTATCTGCATATTTCTCGCAGAAATACTCTTTCAAGATGATTTAGTGTGTCAGACTGTTCATCAGGGGCACCTTGTTGCATTAATTCATCTGATAAGGACTCCATCACCTAGTATTTGAATAGGGCTTACTATTGAGCACATTTTCTTCCTTATCTAGTTAAGTGTCTTATGATAAGTTGGTTGCACCTATCAAGACTTTCTTGATTGCTCATGTGCAGGGTCCTCTTGCTGCCCCAACTCTTCAACATTTGACAAAAGAAGATCTGGGAAAAATATATTTTGGAGATTTTCGAGTGTTGGATATCAATGGGGCAACCTGCTTTCTCACAAGAACCGGGTATGTTTCCCTTTTAGCTTACTTCTGCCTATAATTAGCAATTTGCCTCGAAATGGTCGTGGTGAATGTGCAACTTAATGTTGATACTCCATTTTCCGCTGAGGAAGCATGACTTGTATCATTAATTCCCGGGAAGATGCTCTGAATTATCTACTTGTTTCACTGTCTTTCTTTCCCCACCGTCACCAAAGGGACATAAAGATTTATGCCCTTTCTAAAATACTATTAGATTTCTGTCCTCACTTTCTCCCATTATATATTAGCTTAAGAAGGGAAAAGTTCTAAGAGAAGAACAAAAAACTAAAAGAGTGAGTTAAGAGGGCAGATTCTGTAATTTTTATTTGTTATGTTGATTTGTTGGTTGTCATTGACAGATTAAAGTTTGTGTTTATGACTTTCTGCTGTGACATCTGAACAAATTACTCAGACTCTTATTTTTAGTCTTTACTGTGTGTTTGGTTTTCATTTGCTGGTTGTTGGTTTTTGCCAATCTTACCAATCATTCTGTCTTTAGGATTTTCCTAATTTCATTGCTCTTTTCTTTCTGCTGAGTTGTTTTAGGTACACTGGTGAAGATGGATTTGAAATTTCTGTTCCTTCTGAGAATGCAGTGGATCTTGCCAAAGCAATCTTGGAAAAATCTGAGGGAAAGGTGAGACTGACTGGATTGGGTGCTCGAGACAGTCTGCGACTTGAAGCTGGATTGTGCTTATATGGCAATGACATGGAGCAACACACAACACCAGTGGAGGCTGGGCTTACATGGGCTATAGGGAAGAGAAGAAGGGCAGAAGGCGGCTTCCTAGGTGCTGATGTGATTCTCAAACAACTTGCAGATGGTCCATCAATCAGGCGTGCCGGGTTCATTTCTTCAGGCCCACCTGCAAGAAGCCACAGTGAGATTCAGGATGAGAAAGGTCAAAACCTTGGAGAAATCACCAGTGGAGGATTTAGCCCCTGCCTTAAGAAGAACATAGCAATGGGGTATGTGAAATCCGGGTCGCACAAAGCAGGGACCAAAGTCAAGATTGTGGTCCGAGGAAAGGCCTATGATGGGGTTGTCACAAAAATGCCATTTGTACCTGCAAAATACTACAAGCCATCCTAGTTTAAGGTGTGGCTTTTTGGCTCAAGAATAATCTAATTGGTTTATCTTGGACATCTTTTTTTTTTTTTTTTTATAAAAATTCAACTACTACAGTCAATGCTAATTTCAATTATCTGTTCTCCATTTTCAGATTGGAATGAAATATGTTTCTTTTCTGGACTTTTCCTTGTTTATGTTTCATCAGTACCAAAAGTGAATACTTAGATCATATGGGAATTAGATCTTAATATGTGGAAGGAAAGAGAGATGCGGTTTTGTCTTCTTTCATTCTTATTGTTGGTGATAAAATCCTGCCTATTGGGGGGAAAAAAATCATATGTATTCCTTTAGAAAATGAATGGCGTATTTACATAGTAGAACCAAGTTAAGGGTGGCAATTTAGGTCAAACATGTACCACTCAAAATTCGCATGAAATTAACGGGTTTGAGTTTATTATAAATGAGTTTGAGTCATTACCGAGTTAACACGGTTAATACGATTAATAAATAGTTTGGGTTATGATTGACCTATTAACATGAAGTGACACGAATTAACACGATTAATTATATATGTCACATGCAATCTAATGATGATATAACATGAAAGTTTATATGACATATTAAATACAAATAATATGAATTTCAATATTTGTAGGTAAAATTTATTTATTTTTCTCTTAAAGGAAAAAATAAATTGACCAATAAACATGTTAAACCTGTCATGATCGTGTTAAATAAGTCATTATTATATTCATTATTTATTCAATATATTAATTTAAACGGGTTATGCAGGTTAACATGATTAACACGATTAATAAATGGGTCGTATTTGGATTGAGATTTATAACACGTTTAATAAATGAGTCATATTTGGGTTGATGTTTTCTGACACGATTAATAAACAGGTCGAAATTAACATGACTCATTAACACGAATTACCACCCCTAAACCAAGTTATTCATTTTTGCCTTTTTTCAAAAAAAAAAAAAAAAAGATTATTTTGCCACTGCCTTCTCAAAAATTGACCTTTAAAAAAAAAATGGAAAACTTTTAATATTCAAGGAGCTTGGTGAAGTAGAAGGCTAAGGTTTGAAGTCAAGATTTGAAATGCCAATACGTTGTCTAATTCAAAATATCTCAAGGATCATATATGACTCAATAACGTTCATAATTTTCAACAAAATGAACCAATGAGAATCAGACTCAAAAAATAACAAAATTTTGAGTTGTAATTCGATGTTTCGAACCAATAAAATGAGCGGAGAAATCTTCTCTCATATAAATTTATTTTTCAACTCAAATCAACAAATAAACAGGCAATCCCATTTTCAATCCAACTTGTTTTGGTCGTGAGATATTCATTGACTGTAGTAACTTATAAGTTAAATATTTGTTCAAGAAACTTGTTGGGTTAAGACTTCCATTAAATAAAATCCAATTTGTAGTTATCAATAAAAAAAAAAAAAAGTAAAACCATTATTATATTTACCGCTACATTTTGACCTGATCTAATATTGTTTGTTTTTGAGCGAAAACCAAATGAAAACCTATACCCAAGTCCATTAACAACATAAAATATTCGACTGTAGTTACAAAGTCAAAGACCACCCTTTCATATGGTCTGCGAGGGAATTATTCAGACCATGTCAAGATTATGTTTTGGTCCAACGTCGCATCAAAAAATTTATCATTCAATCAGCATATAATTAATACCAGTAGTTGAGAAATTTTGAATGTTCATAGAATATTCAATTTGTGTGACGACAAATATATAATAGAAACTAGAGCCCATTATCTATCTATACGATTTCCGCACGTCAGCCATGATATATAGTAAGAGTTTGGTTTAAAGATTCGTGATATAATTTGAATCATGATTCGTGACTCGTTATAGTATTTTTTCTCACAAAAAACATATGTAAATCGATAATGATTCTGAATCTATCAACCAAACGTACTCTAAGTAAATAAATAACAAACAAAATTTGGACGTGCGTGTTTTTTTTTTTTTTTTTTTGGGATAAATTTAAGTTGGACGTGTTATTTTAAAGAACAGCTGAAGGCTGGCGTTATTTCTATGTCATATATGTTTGCAAATTGTGTGCATTAAAGAACAAATATATAAAAACAATCCAAAAATGATTGTGGTGATATATAATTCCGTGGTATTTAAACAGGGATTCTGATTTCGAAAACTATATTTGTGTCAATTTTCTTTTTCAATGATTATTTACAGAGCAGGTGGACCAAGGAATAGAGAATATAAGGACACGTTTAAAACTCGTTTTAAAATAATTTTATTTTTTATATGAAAATAAAAATAAAAACGTTTTCAATCTTAGACAAAAATTATTTTTGAAAATGCATTTGGTAGTTTTATTAAGAAATTATTTTCAGTGTAAAAAAACCCATTAATATCTCTCTTTCTCTCTCTCTGCTTGAGAGATGAGAAAACGAAAACAAAAAATGAAAAACAACTAAAAGTTATTTTTCATTTATCTCTCATTTTACACTAAATCAAAAAATTATTTTCATTTCTACTTTTTGTCTTTATTGCACCAAATGCCGTTTTAAAAACGTTTTTATTTTATCTTTCTCGAAAAACGTAAAAAATAAAAATATGATCAATTCCAAATACGGCCTAAATGTTAAACAAGAAAACGATAAATGGTAATATTGTAACAGCTACAAATAACTGCAGTTTAATTTAAATTTAGTTTTAACTCTACACAAATTAAGGGAAAAAAGACCAAGGAGAGTGTAGCTAGGATTTGATGTTATTATGGCAAGTATCTTTTTCGTTTTACATACATAAATAATTTAGTTGCTTAAAAGTTGTGTATTCCATTAAACAAGTTTCACTTTATCCCTGCTTTAATGATCGTTTTCAAAACACGAGACCAAAACTTGGACCTAAATATCAAACGATAGAGAAATTCAGTTTGTGACAAAAATTAATAAAACTGAACGTATTATTATAAGTTATACATACTTAAGGAATGATTTCATCTGGTAAAAATATATCGAGAGTTTAATTATTTATGAAAATATATCGAGCAATATTATCGATATCGATCTGTTGAAAAAATTAAATCACATATGTCATATATATATATATATATATATATGTTTCTCCGCATTATTTTGTTGAGGACCTAGATTATTTGTGATAAAAGAATTTTAACAGTGAAGTTATATATCTCTATACATAAGCCATAATAGGAAACAATAAACAAAACATTTGGACGCACGTATTATTTCGCATAAAAAGTATATATATTACAAACTTGAAGTCAACGTTGTTATAACTTGTGTAGCTATGTCATGTTACATATTTATACAAAGTTGTATGATTACACGAATAAAAGAATAAATAAATAATTATTATCAGAATCTAAAATCATAACTAATTAATTCAAAAAAGCTTGCTGGCGAACTCGTCAATGGCGGTTCCATTAGCGCGAGAAGCAGCAGATTTCGCCGCCAGCTCCTCAAGCTCGGACAAGCTTCTTCCCAGCTGCAAAGCCACCTTCATCTCAAACACCTCTGAGTCTACACTTTCTCTCTCCTCCTCTATCGTCTCCTCTAATAACTTGAAGAAGCCAGCGCAGTTTCTGTACATCTCGAACACCATCCCCACTTGCCCGCCGTGCTGAAAAGAGTTGACGGCGCCAGCCAACGCCCCCGCCGTCACCGCCGTAACGGCTCCCCAAGACCCACCGTCACCGATAAACGGAGCGCTGACGGCCGCGACGCCAGTCAGCAACGGCCCCGCAAATGCCAACGCCTTGTTTATCTTCAACGCCAAGCTTCCCAGCCTCTCGTAATCCTCTAAGTCTTTTCTCTTCACCACTTCCACAATTTCCTTCATCATAATATGATCACTATTACTACTATTATTACTATTTTCTGATCGCTTTCTCGGCCACCAAACAGCGGGCTCGAATCTTTCGGGAAACTTCTCGAGCATGGCTCCGATCAAGGGGAGAGGGTAAGCTCTGTCGAGCGTCAAAACCTTTTGCATGGCTTCCTTCACGTCGTTTTCTGTCGGAGAGCGAAGAGAGAGGACGGTCTGAATCTCGGTTTGGATTTGTCTAAACAACCTCGACGCATTTCGCTGCTCCTCGACGAGCTGAGAAGGCTGGAGCTTGTTCATCACGACCAACATTCCCGTGGCGGCGGAGAATAGAAGAGTCGACGACAGCTTCAGAGCCAAAACGGCTGAAGTTCCCGGCGCCGCCGCCGCAACTCCGGCGATGGTGGAAGCCGTGAGTGTGATCATGTTGATGGAGTTCAAGAACAGGGCGTTCCAGTTGTCGCGCTGTTCGCCCATGTTTTCGTGCATTTCGACTCTGTCCGCCACGGCTTCTAGAACGGCGTAGAGCTTTGCAGTACTGAGAACAGTTTCGTTGTGTTTATCGTTTTTAGTTAATACGACGTCGTTAGTGTCTGTTTCCTCAACCGCAAGCTTGTTTGGCTTTGTTGTTAATGTCGTTTTTGGTACTGGTGATGGTTTTGGAAACGTGAAACGGAATTTTGGAAGCTTGGGGACTTGAATAGCGGCATTGATATATGATCTCTTTGATGATGGATAAGAAGAATTGGAGGAGAATATGAGAGGTGAAGATTGTAAGGAAGACATTTTTATTGTTGACGTTTTTCTGTTTTAGTAATTTGCCTTTTTTTTTGCTCTTTTTGGTTTCTGTTTTTGGTGAGATCATTGCTATATGGATGTGCTATTTATAGCATAAGTTCGTAACTACCAACATCAGCAACGGAAAAGGAATGAGCCAGCTTTTGAAAATGTTGACTGCCCAACAGGATAGACTCGGCCCATGCACAAGCGGACCCATTCACAGTTTTTAATTAGACTATATATAGATATTAGATATAGTTTTAAATTAGAATACCAAAATATTATTCAAAATTTCTACCTCTGAGTGAGTCTTGGTCTGTTATTGCAGGTGGTGGTAAAACCTATAAAACCTTGCACTCCACTTCATTGCAGGACTGCGTCTTCCAAATGTTTCCTTCTTCTTCGGCTGCAATATTGCATGATGACAATAATATTTCACTTAGTTGGGAGGTCACTTTCCTTAATACAATTCGAATTTCTTGTTACTAAGTTTGAAAAGTATAACATTAACGATTCGAATTTCTTGTTACTAAGTTTGAAAAGTATAACGTTGTTGTTGTTATTATTATTATTATTATTATTTTCTTTTTTTATTATTTTTATTATTTTTTGCGTTAAGCGTTGCGGCCCGTGGACCACTAGCTCTGATGACTATATTTGAAGAAAATTGTTAAACTTACCCTTATAGTGCACGGTTTCCTTGATTAATATCCTTTCGAGTAATATACTTATTTGACTAAAAAGTGTATTAATCAAGGTTAAAAAATAAAAATTTAGAGCTATGCATGCTAGGTGATTAATATTTATCTCCATTTCCTCTATATTTGTCAATAAAAGCATTTTTAATTCAATATAACGTGTACCACTTTCTACGTTAATACGATGTACATGCATGAAAAGTAGAACTACTGTGTAATTATGTGAATGTAGCAAGAGAGTGTGTTCTTGAATTACAATTAAATCAAATTTCTTGTCACTAGGCTGAAAAAGTCCATTTTCCTTTTTGTGAATCAAGTGTTTTCTTAAAAATAAGTTTGTGTTCAATATATTGCTTTATTGGTCCATATATAATCTCGTATTACTAATTAACATCATAATTTTTTTTAACACATTCTAGCATGAATTAGACACAATTAAGATTCCAAATTGGATTGTTAAAAATTTTAAATTTTAGGGAGAGAATTATTCAAAGGAGGGAAATTTTATTATTCTGGGAAGACAAAAATGACTCGTAACTGGGGTGGTTCCCGTACAGAGCCCTCAAGAGAGCAGTTGCTTGTTCGCCAAGAATCAGCCTCACTCTCCTAAGACTTATCAACGCAGGAACTATACCTCTACCCGGAATAAAACACCTTTGAAGAATGTACGTTCACGTGCTGACTATAAAGAAAGCCACAAAGTAAGACTCTGGATGGGCCAAGGGGGTTAACTTTTCTTATAGCATTATATAAAAAAGTACTTTACAAATGACATTGGTTTTTATTATTTTATTGTATCATTATTAGGTCAATAATTACCACAACTAATTGTTATAATTAATTACTGGAATAATATGACAAGATAGTCACATAAATTCAAATAATAATAATAAAATCTATAAATCTTTTATTTTAGTTTATATAAAAAATTAGCCCTTTTTTTGCTCCAAAAACACGTGCCAAAATGTATACCTAAAACACACACTTTTTTTTTACTTTTTTTTTCTTTTGAAAAAGGATGGGGCTCAGAACATGCATCATAAATTACCTTAAAAAAAAAAAAGAGAAAAAACACATGTATCAATTTAGGGAAGTAGGTGATTACGAAAAAAACTTTAGGGAAGTAGGTTTGAGTAAAAAGCGGATTTATGTACTTTGCTATCAACATTATTAACACATATTCTCAACCAACCATAGATTTATATATTAACTCCAACACTATGATAGAAGATTTCCCACATTTTTTTTTAAGAAAACTAATGGATTTACCATTGAAATGTATAATTTAGACTCTTTACTCTTAACTAATATCGTTTTAATTAATATAATTATTTAATTAAAAAAATATTAATAAAAAATAAAAAAAAATTTAAACTCATATATTTTAAAAGTATTTGTCTTTTTTTTTTATTCCTCTCCAAAACATATTTGATAGTTTCGTTTTCGTTGCACCTGTCGGGTCATCTTAACCGGACATGAACCCAGTACTTGGCGCGGTCTCACGGCCAATAAAACCCAAAAGAAATGGGGACAGAAATGAACTAGTTTTATGCATTGGGCAGTCCAGTCCGTTACTACTGGCCCCACAATTGCTCCAGTTCCCAACTTCCTAATAATAAATGCTTATTATTGGCGTGAGAGATATTTCTATGTTCTTTTTTTTTTTCCCCAAAGAGAGATATTTCTACTTTCTTTTTGGTCTTCTTCTTCGGCCACTAGGAACAGAGTGATACCTAACTCTCTAGTTTTGTAACTGAGACTTGAATTTGGGACAAAATCTCTTCTCTTCTATTCATCGAAATCATGGGTTCGATTGCAAAGAAAGGGTTCCAGCAATACTTGATTCAGCTCCAACATCATCCCCTGCGAACCAAGGTCTAAAACCTTTTTTTTATTTATTTATATATATTTCGATTTCGTTTGTCATATGGGGGGTTTTTTTTTTTTTTTTTTTTTAAATTTATTTTACCCTTCTATTTGTAAGGAAAAAGAAATTTCCCTTTCTGGGTTTTCAATGTTTGATCTTTTTTTCAATTTTTTTTTTTAATTGTGAGAACAGGCAATTACAGCGGGTGTTTTGTCAGCGATCAGTGACATAGTTTCTCAGAAGCTCACTGGCATACAGAAACTTCAGATGAGACGGCTTCTTCTCAAAGTGGTAAGTAAGCGCTGCTCACTCACTGCTTTAGTAGTTATAAAATGCTGGCGAGATTAAATTTGTGACATTGATTTGTTACTTTTGAGCGAATTAGGTAACAGTGAGTGTTAAGGTTGTGGATGAAAAAGCAATAAGCATCGCTTTAAAAAAAATATGATCTCGTACTAAAATTTCCTCGGTTACTTGCAAAGATGGCATATCTCAATTTTGCCACCAAAATGGGGAAGTTCATACCTATAAAATAGATGTAAGGTGGTGTTTAGTTTGATGGAATGGAATAAGAATGTGTATATCAATAGAAGTATAATGGAATGAATAGGAATAGATTTAATGATATGTTCTAATTCCATTGTTTGGTTGAATGTTGGAATCACAATTATTATGTTTGGTTAAATCATTGGAATGCAATGGAGTGGAATAATAATTAACTTCGATAGAAATACCCCTTAGTTTAATATGTTATTATTTTTTAAAACTAGTAATATTATGGTATAAAGTAATTATATTACCTGAATGTCACTAGAAAAAGAATTCAGACTATTGTTTAGTTACAGTCTACTAGTGTGAATGGAAACTTCGGAAAACAATGTCAGAGAAAATTTTGTCTGAACGATTGTGGGCTATGGATCTGAATCTGATCTGTTCTTCACCTGCGAGGTTGTCAATGCTTTGTAGAGGGGTACCTTGTATTATATGTTATCTGACACTTCAAATGCTATTATGTCGATTGTCCTATGTGCATCTGCTGCACTTTTGTGTTCTCAATCATGTTCTGGTCTATCTGAATGCAGATTTTTGGTGCTGCTTATCTTGGTCCATTTGGCCATTTCATGCATAAATTACTAGATAAAATTTTCAAGGGGAAGAAGGATTCAAAAACGGTAGCCAAGAAGGTATGAATATGATTACTCACTCTTCATCTCTGGTTGGTCTCCCAAAGGCCTAATGAAGAAACATCAGGACTTTTCCCGAATCGCTTAAATGCCAAGCAAGTGTAAATGAAAGAGCATTTTTATTAAGTGCTTGAATGTATGGATTACCCAATTCTATATTCCTTTTCAAATAGAAAAAAAGGGTTGATTTCCTATGTGTTTAGGCATCTTGAATGAAGCAAGAACCGGCTAACAATAACATCAATTAATTATTTTTTTTAGAGGAGATTATTGAATAACTAGAGCTTATGATGCAGTTTGATTAATTTAAGTCAAAGAGAGGTTTTTTTTTTTTTTAAAATCAGTTAGAAGTCGTTCTAAAAATGCCTCATCAAATAATTTCAGGTGCTGCTGGAACAGTTGACCTTGTCACCTTGGAACAACTTGCTTTTCATGATTTACTATGGATTGGTTGTGGAGGGTAAGTTACATGGAAGCATTCGATTTACCTCCTTTTCTTGACTCACCTTAGATATAGGTGAAGCGAAGGGATCCATTGTAAATTAGTTAAATCTAGTGTTGCTGGCACTTGTTTTTCATTAATTTAGGTTTGAGTTGACTTTCATGATATTGTCGAAAAGTCAAAACTTAAAGGACTCTAATCCTGAAAAGTCAGCCTGAAAGGAATGTCAAAATTAGCAGACTTAAGTATGAACATTTCACAGTGAACGTGTATTAGGAATTTTGCTGCTTATTATTACTTTATGAAAATGCGAAATGCAGGAAGACCTTGGGTTCATGTGAAAGCTAAAGTAAAGAAGGACTACCCAGCCGTACAATATACTTCTTGGACGGTAATATTCTACGCTGCTCAATTATGTGTTATATTAAACAAACACATGGATCATTTTGTAATCTAGCCACCTAATCATATTTTGTTCTTTCTGCAGTTTTGGCCTGTTGTGGGGTGGATCAATCACCAGTATGTGCCACTGCAATTCCGGGTCATTCTTCAGAGCTTTGTTGCATTTTTCTGGTATGGAATATGCCATTTTGCTCTGCTCTCTAGTATTTTGATTCTTGTCCCTACTATCTCCATTGAAAAAAACATTATAATGATCCCCATTCTTTTTTTTTTTTATTCCCATTTTTTTCAGGGGAATATTTCTGAATCTCCAAGCACGAACCATGGCGTTACCGAAGGCCAAGTGAAGAAAACAAGTTTCTTATGAACCCAAGATAAATTTAATTTAGCTTCTACTCACCAGCTACTTTTAGTTTGCTCTCAGCTGCTCTTAAGTTGAGCTATCATGGATTCAAGATTGGTTATGGGTTTTAAATCTTCTTCATTGTGTATGCTGGCTCATATTATAGATTGTTCAACGTCACAACTATGTTTTTCCCTTGCATTCTGTTGCTTACAATTAAATAAATAACAGAATAGTTTATTGCCTTGCAACGAATATGTGTGTCCTTATGCAATGATGGAAAATACAAAACAAAATTTGGGTCGTTATGCTTCTATTCCAAGCTGTATTTCTCCTACTCGTTTGGTTGAGGCCACACGTGGATGTGATGGGGACAGCTCAAAGGAGGATTAGGGGCCATGTGAATAATTTGGTATTTTTCAAGGAAAAAAAAAATAACCCGAGTATTTGGTAGGCTTGGAATAAACAATAGTAAAATTTAAACTTGACTCTTTTTTTTTTTTTTTTTTGGATATGGGTGTATGTAATGATCTCACCTTGAAGTGCTATGTTCGGTAGGAAAGAAAGAAAATATGATAGAAAGGAAATATGGAAGTGATGAAAAATAACAATGGTAGAAATGAAATTGATTTTCTTTTATGTTGTTTGGTATTAGAAGATGGAAAGAAAATAAGCTTACCTTCACTTGTTTAGTATTGGAAGTTAAATTGGGGGAAAAGAAAAAATTTTACTCGTAAATTACTTTTATACCCTTAAATTTTTTGCTTGGATGTTGATGGAGAAAATGGTAGTTTAATAATTTTGCTCACTTTAATGAGTTGTCTCTATTTTTCATCCCATTTTTTGCCCACTTGTGGAAAGAAAAAAAATAATGGGGCCTACATGTATTATTTTTCACTCCATTTTCTCTTCCTTTCTCTTTTCTCTCTTACCAAACAACCTATATTTTCATTTTTCCTCCCAAAATCCCTCCACCTTCTTTCTTCCTTCTACTTTTCTTTCCTACCAAACATAAGGGTTGAATCACCTTGGGGAAAAAAATAAAAAAAAAATGCAATTTAAGTTTATATCATTATTGCAAAATTTACGTACATTTTTGTTATAATATGATGGGAGAAGTAAGCATTTGTAAATAGTAGCTTTTAGCAAATTTACTTGATAAATAATCTATAATTCCCGTATTATGAATATAAAATTACATACATACTAAAATATTTGGAAATCAATATAGATTCCCTATCATAGAGCCATGTGCATTCTGATCAATAGGCTGCATGCAAAGAATCAAGAAACACATTAAACAGAAAATTGGAAAACAAATTATTTGCCATATCCAAAATATTCGATTTTCTGCGTCCTTTAGTAAATCACGACAGAAATTATTCACAAAAAAATCACTTGCATAACTTAAAGCATAGTTATATATATTTAACCTAGATAAGTGAAAATACATTAAAAAAATAAATAAGCGTTGAACATGCGTTACCATTGTCGTCACAACTCACAACATTTATGTCTTTTTTTTTTCCCTTCATGGATTTATAAAATTATTTATTTTGTATCATATATCTACATACGTACAAAATTTGAATTAAACTATTATAGAAATTGATGCTTGAGAAGGGCCAAGCCAACGAGAGCCGAGTCAGTTTTTTGTCCCGAGGTCACTGCCTCTGTCAGGATTTGTTCTATATTGAAGTATTCCACAAGTATTCCACGTTATGGCCGTTGCAAAGTCAACTAAACCAGATTTCAATTTTAAATTCCCAATTGCCCCAAGCAGCCAAATAGCGGGCTTCGACCAAAATAAACTGACAGAATCCAAGATGAGAAGCAGTCTTAGCCGTAGGATTTGAGCTCATTCAAACTTTCAAAGCTTGAGAACATTTTCATTGACTTTTTCATTATCTTGTTATTAATTTCTTGTATAAATACCCATCTCTACTTCTTCTCCATCCCAATTCACTTCTCACTCTCATCTTGAAAAATCACAAACAAGAAAACACAACAACATCAACATCCTCGTAAACCTTCAAATCAATCAAACCTCACACAAAAATCACTTGTCCTAGAATATTGTTTGAGCAAATATTATGGCAACCCTTCTTTCTTCAACCGTGTTTTCTGTGAAGGGCACGTCTCAAATCCATGATTCGAGAAGATCCAACATCAGAGCCACCATTAACATACCGAAAACTCCGGTTGCTCTCCCGAAGCTCCCATCTAAAAGTTTTGCGGACAACTTGGAGAACATTACGAGTCGTGCGGAACAAATTATAGATCGTTCCTACACAAGACGTACAATTAGTCCAAATCTTTCTAACGAAAAGGCGATTATCGAGAAGATGTACGCGATCATGGAGGCTGTCGCGGACAGAGTTGAGATGCACAACAACATCGGAGCTCAGCGCGACAATTGGAACACTCTCCTCCTGACATCTGTCAATTCAATCACTCTCACCGCCGCCACAATGACCGGAATCTCAGCAGCCGCCACCGCGGTGTCTGGATCATCCGCGGAAGCGCTCAAGCTCGGCGCTACTATCCTCTACTTGGCAGCCACCGGACTACTGGCTGTGATGAACAAAATCCAACCCTCACAGCTCGCGGAAGAGCAAAGAAATGCCTCTAGACTCTTCAAGCAGCTTCTCAGAGAAATCGAAACTAAACTTTCCCTCGGAAACGTGACCTCTTCGGACGTAAACGAAGCGATGGAGAGAGTTCTAGCCCTGGACAAGGCCTACCCTCTTCCCCTATTAGGCGCAATGCTCGAGAAGTTCCCCAAGAAAGTTGAGCCTGCCGTTTGGTGGCCGAGAAAAGTTCACCAAAAACGAGTAGTGAAAAAAACTATGACTAGCAGTACTAATGGTTGGAGTGAGAAGTTGGAAGAGGAAATGAGAGAGATTTGTGGGGTGATAGAAAGGAAAGACCTTGAAGACTACTTGAGGCTGAGCAAAAAGGCATTGAATTTGAACAAAGTTTTGGCCATTTCTGGACCAGTTTTAACCGGTTTGGCTGCTCTAGGAACCGCATTTTCTCATCATGGAACGGTGCCTCTTGTCGCCGGAGTCGTCGGCGGGGCTCTGGCCAGCGTCGTGAACAGTTTCGAACATGGCGGGCAAGTTGGGATGGTGTTTGAGATGTATCGAAGTAATGCCGGTTTCTTTAGGCTCGTGGAAGAGACAATAGAGTCGAATCTGAACGAGAGAGATTTTGAGAGGAGAGAGAATGGCGAAGTGTTTGAAACCAAAGTGGCTTTGCAGTTGGGAAGGAGCTTGTCAGAGCTGAGAAATCTTGCTGATAACTCTAGGAATTCAAGATCAAGAAGATTCAATGGTGTGGATCATCATGATCGTGAGATCGAAGAAGAGTTCGCAAGCAAGCTTTTCTGATTTGTGATCTTATGATTTTTTTTTTTTTTTGACCTTTCTGATCATGAGATTTCAATTATGATCACATGTAGTTGAGCTGATACAATTTGTACATAAAAGTGTACCTATAAGCTAACAACATCATAATCAATTTGTTCATTTTTTTCATATTCCTTAGCCTTGTTTTGAATCTTATTCTGGATTCCATTTTATTCTTTGATTCCATGATGAGATGTTTGTGCTAGTTAATCAAGCAACTGAAGTTATAAGACGAGTTACATGAGGAAATTTTCGTTTTCATTAATTCTGTTGAACCCCATAAATTGAAACTCATAAATGGTCAAAAATAAAGCGCAATGAGTGTATTTATACTTAATTATTACAATATAGTATATTGATGAAGTGAAATGTACATGCTTCTCATATATGTAGTTTTTTACTAATGGTTTATTTATTTATAATTTCGTGTATTTATAGATCACGTGTAAGCTCTGCATTACAGCTATCAAAATGTGAACGAGGGGAGCTAAAGAAAAGAGACAAGCGTTGAAAGCTGTTTATAATTGTCTTACTCAAGTCATAACAAAAAAACATATAATATATTTGGAAGAAGTTATGAACATATAATAAATTTTAGATTGGTTATAACTTTATTATTGTTATTATATAGTTTGCTTGAAAAATGATTTGTATCTTCATTTCTTTGAAAGACGGGCTAAAGGAATGATTCCCTAATTTTCTCTTAGAAAAAGAAAAACATAAATTACAGGAAATTACTTACTTTCAAATATTTTTGGGAGTAAATAGCATATGTACTGGTATTGAATGGCATTTGTGAAGTTTTCATGTGTGTTATTTAAATTTTTACCCTTCTTAATTTTGGTTTCTTTCTTATTAGTTTTCCTCTTTCTCCACCCTTTTTTTTTTAAACTTTCTTCCAAGTTTCGGCCACTAATTTTAATAGTTTAGCAGAGTAGTACTAAATCTGGATTTACATAAAACTACTATTTATTAATTGTTCTCTAAATTCTATCATTACTTTTGTTGTCACAAACCTGTCGCTACAATTGTTTCGTCGCAAAAATAATTTTTGAGCGACAATCAATCGTCGCAATTATATTTGCGACGACAATAGTCGCAAATGAGTCGCTGTAATTATTTCGTCGGTTACATCGTTAAGGTGGCATGACATTGAGTATTTGCGACGCCATTTTATGAATTAAGTCGTCGCAAAAGGTGCAGAATTTGTTGACGTGGCTTATATTTTTTGCGACCACATTTGTCGTTGCAAATAATATTTTAATTTTTTATTTATTTTTTCTCATTTTAATAATTAATGTTGTATATTACTATATATTTAAACCCAATATTAAATATAATTAATAAATAATAAAAATAAAAATAAAAATTCTTATTGTAAAAAATAATTAATAAAATAAAATAAAAATTTAATTATAGTAGAAATGTACGGAAATAAAAATTGTTACATTAATAAAAATCTAATCTCCTAAATTAGCAGCATCACATTTGTTGCAAGTATTTTTTTACGTGTGGGTCCGAACGTGTCGTAGAAGATCTTGTCGAGCATGAGCCATCCCCTCGATAAACCTTTTGTGGGAGTGTGCGAGTGCCCATAAACTGCTCCATAATATCCTGCTCGTTAACTGCTCCTACCGCAGATGATCCAGAAGTAGTAGACTGCGTCTGGATTTGCGTTTCTCTTTCTCCCTCCTTCTGATGCTACAAATATTATAAGAAAAATAATTAAATACATAATGAGATTTAAATAAAAAAATATAATTAAACATTACGAGTATACTTACGACGTCGTCGAGGTGCAGCATCGGGCACTGTAGAATGAAATATATTTAGTGATCATATAAT